TACCGATTTTCTTAATGATCAATTGAAGCGTTCAGATAACTTTATTCCTCAAACGAGTCACCTTGAGGGACACTGGAAAGGCTTTGTTCAGGCCAGTCCAGATAAAATTACTACTTGGGACACAGGTAGAGTATTAATTGCCTTGTTATGTAGGGGCAGCTTGTCTTTTTAGACTCTGTGGCTGTTTAGATTGCTCTTCTATCGATCATAAAGCTAGAACTAAGGTTACGAAAATAACTCATCAGTTTAGAGGAGAACATCCTGCAGAGGCGATAAGATGGTCACAGGAAATGCACGTAACCAAGTAGTGGTTAGGTTTAATATTGTACCTGATTGCCTAAGAAGATAGCATGAGTTTTTGTTATCAATGTCACAGCATAGTTAAGCCAAACCATTGATTTCCTGGGTTGCTCTGACACTTGATTGAAATCTTCTCATTTTAAATGGCTTTCTTTTCTTACAAAGGGTTTCCCCTGGAAGGCTTGCTCTTTGTTGGAGCGAAGTCTGTCGAAACACCCGACTCCTTTAACATTCACCCGCACCTGAAAAAGACTCACGCGGAGGCCAGGATAAAAAAACTAGAAAGTGGCGCCGGAATTGACTGGGCTACTGCAGAAGCTCTCGCCATCGGAAGTCTTCTTCATCAAGGTGAAAACTCCTCTTCAATATTGAAAATAGACTAGTACCGAATGAAAAACCTACCTGTTGAGGATAACAATGTAGATGTCAGTGTTACTCTAATGGTCACACTTCGAAAGTTTTATTTGCAGTCTTAAATGATAGAGCCACCTTGTACAGTTTATGATACAGTACTCAAATGATTACGCACTGGCCAGAGTTTGAACTTTCGGATCTTTAATTTGCAGTTATTATGCGATTAATTTTGTCCGAACTTTCCGTTTGACAGGGTATCACGTGCGCTTTAGCGGGCAAGATGTCGGAAGAGGAACATTTAGCCACAGACACACGATGCTGGTCGATCAACAAACAGACGAGATGTTTGTACCACTGAATAATATGTCCGAACAACAGAAAGGATTTCTTGAGGTATTTAGCACTATTCTCCTAAGAATTTCCATTACGAACTCCTCCAGACCTGCGCTCTTTCGGTCGGAGACTTGCCTGCTAACTGTTGTACTAGTAAAGTAGATCTCTGAAAAAAAATTTTTCTTGGTCTTCCACACAGGTGGTCAACAGTCCTTTGTCAGAAGAAGCTTGTCTCGGTTTTGAATATGGCATGAGTATTGAGAACCCAAATCACTTGATCATCTGGGAAGCGCAGTTCGGAGATTTCTTCAACGGCGCGCAGATTATCATCGACACATTCATATCAGGAGGAGAGGGTAAGAGGAATGAGATTTTTAACCCGTGGCATATTGATGAAGATATTCTCTCAAGGCAATGATAACTTTAAGAAAGGATTAGGCGAAAAACAGCAAAGGTGATTTTTCTTTTTCAGCAAAGTGGTTGCTTCAGAGTGGTCTGGTAATGTTACTGCCTCATGGCTATGATGGTGCAGGACCTGAACATTCTTCTTGTAGAGTAGAGAGATTCCTTCAGGTGCGTGGTATTAGCTTTACACTTCAGTAAAGTCTTAAGCTGTCTCCGTCTGTCACAGTGTTTGCAATAAGTTCGAGTTTGTCGATCTATTGACCTTTGGGTTGAAACTAAAAAGTAAAAAAAAGTTCTTAAGGCAGAGATGGCGATGGAGAAAAGAAACTGGTGACCACCCTTAATCGTTTTCTTATCTCTGTAGATGACAGACAGTCGAGAAGATGGAGTGGACGGCGACTGTGTGAACATGCAAATAGTGAACCCAACCACGCCTGCGCAGTACTTCCACTTACTACGTCAGCAAGTGAGTTTAGATGCATGACGGAAAAAAGGATGAGATGGCAAAAGTTGTCGAGTGGAAAAGGGAAGAGAATTTTAGTTTTTTTTTTTGGTATCGAATCCCTCAACTCTTTAGTTGATGCTCCCCTCTCATTCATTTTTGGATTTTCGAGGTTAAAATTTATTAGTAACTACAGACTGATGAAATTTTGTTAACTAAAGCCGAATTGTTTGATGCCTAGAATCCACTTTACAGCACAAACCCATTAACACAAAGCCATCAAATTTTATTGTCTATACTCTTAATAATTCTCTTAGAAATGCCGCCAGCCTGATTCGATCGACAGAAAGCGAAACTTTAACTTAAACTAGATGCCTCAAGAAAAACTGTTCCTAATTTATTAAAATTATTATTATTTGTCCTAGATGGTCCGCAACTTCCGGAAACCACTGATTGTCGTTGGACCGAAGTTGTTATTAAGACTTCCGGTGAGTAAGATGCACGAGCATCCAATCCAAGAAAATTCTAGAAGTTTTGCTTATGAAATCGGAACAAGCTTTGGCGCGCCGTACGTACGATAACGTATTTTTCTCATTTTCCCCTCAGGCTGCTGTATCGACCCTTCAAGAAATGGGCCCAGGAGCACATTTTAGACCGGTGCTTGGAGATGCCAGTGTAAATAGCGCTTCAGTGCGCCGTGTTGTGTTCTGTTCTGGAAAGCATTATTACGCTTTAGCCAAGCAAAGAGAGGCGACCAACAGCTTAGATACAGCCATTATAAGACTGGAGGTAGGGGACTCGTTTTGATACTAGAAAGCGATCTATTGCTTGATGTAGTGGAACCTTATATCAGGGACACACTTGAGGCCACTTCAAGTGTCCCCTAATGAGAGGCGTTTGGCATTTTTATTGGTTTCTTTGTTACTTTTGCTGTTGTTGGGACTAGGGTTGGAGTGTTCACTTACCGTGACTGCACACATTTTGAAGGAAGGATCCTAAGTTGGGCTTGTATGAAAAGCGGTGTCCCATTGATTGGAATCTCGACTTCAAGCCCTGGCCAGAAAACTGAACAAAATTTTAAGAGGGAGATTGGGGTTAGGACCTAGGATCACATCCGGGAACTGGGGAGAGGGGTAAAGACATTCCTGGTGCGGATTTCACGCGGTGAAAACCGTAATAAGTTCTGGCGATGCGATCCACTTTGCTCCTGAGCAGGTTTTATTTATGCTAATAAGAGACAATTCTTTTTCTTTTTACTAGTTAAGTGATAGTTCTAAAGTTGCTGTTTTACTTTATATCCTCTCCAGTCGTTATGCCCGTTTCCTGCTGAAATGATTCGTCAAGAGCTGAAGAAGTTTCCTCAAGCGAAAGGTATCTTTTTAATAGTTGCCCTAATGTTCCTATCAACTTGAAATGCTTTAGCAGTGTTGTGACAGTCATATACGACTTTTCTATGCAGAATTTGTTTGGAGTCAAGAAGAGCAAAGGAATATGGGAGCCTGGAGTTTCGTATCACCGCGATTTGAGAATATTGTAGGAGTTAAGGTAAACCTGATGATATCAAAATAGGATTTATAGTCAGTCTGTCTGGCTGATTGATTGACTAACTAACTTGTCGATCGATTGATTGCTTAACGTATTTACTGAAAGTCAGGGTAACTTGAAACATGATAGCGCGGTTAATCAGTTGACTTGACTGGATTCTTGCTTGCCTTATTGACTGATGGACGAGTTAGTATTTTCGTTGATTATTGACTGATCCATCAATTGCTTGATGATAACAGATTTTATTCTTCGTTTTAGCTCAAGTACAGTGGTCGAAGAGTTTTGGCTGTTCCCGCAGTTGGCATTGGAAAGCTGCATTCGCAAGAAGTAACCGACATTTTGAGTGGCACGTTCCCAAATAAAGACAATTAACCATAATTCTTGGCGCTACAGTTGAAGATAGTCCTATATCATCCCGTCTCTTCATTCCCTTGACAAATGGCTTATGGCACCATGCTGGAACTTAAGTCGCACTACCTGGGTTAAATCTGAAAAGAAGTCTGACGTTTTTCTAAGGAAATTTATATAAAAGCAAGGGAGACTGAGTAACGTCTTACAAATGAGGAATTTATTTGTACCGCGACTAACTCATCAGATTGTAAAGAAACCGCTCTTAAAAAATAACATTTACAACTTGGAAGTTGTCAGAGAAGACTTAAATCTGCTCTAAGCAGCCAAAGCTAAAGTTTGGTTTGACAAAAAGTAAATATTTTAATTATTTAACATATTTACCATTCCGCTCTCAAGATCTGAAAGTTAAGGCTCCTATCTAATACCATATTTAAAACTGTATTAAAATCTCAAATACTGTCGAACTTCTCCCTACGGACTCCTCCGTAATAAGGAGACTTTTCTCCTTCCCGTCGGTGTCCCTACTAGAGAGGTTCGACTGTAGAATAAACAAAAAATCAGTTGAAAATCGAAGAGTCGACAGATCTCTATTTAAGTTTTATTTATCACTGGTTAAAACCTTAACCTTGAACTTTGAAATCGATGGAGAGGATTGAACTGAAATCTAAATATTCTTCTTAATTAAATAATTCTTCCAATCCTGTTCTTGTATACGTCTTGCAATAAAACGTAATTAAACCAAGGGATGTGTTGTACCTATTTCTGAGTGGTTAATGTTATTCAATCGTCTGTGATGAGGAAGACTTTCGAGTTCTTCTAGTGTCCTTCTCCGAGTTCCCGTCACCAAAAAAAAAAAAAAAAAAAAAAATGAAAGAAGGCGAAGAAGAAGGAGAATTGCTCGGGAGTCGACTTTTATTTCGGCAACTGAAGCATCCCAAGAAAAACTCTAAGGGGGGATCTGTGTATGTCCGCAAGTTAAGGTCTTCCATGTATTATTGTTTCGAATCCTTGACCCTTGACCCTTGACCCTTGACCGCTTGTATCCTGTGAAAGGTATCAAGAGGAGAGAGAGGGTGTATCAAGGAAAGTGTCCTATCAATCAGGTTTACGTTTTTCAAGCGAACGGAGACAAAACCAAGCCGAGTGTGAAGCGGGAGTCATGCGCGCGGCCGAAGAGATCGGAGCGCGAAATACGAGGACTGGGTAAGAGACAATGATCTCTCATGCCCAGGTTATCCCTGCCAATCATTATCTGGATATTTTCAAAATGGCGGCCGAACACTTGTAGGAGGTGTAAAAATTTACTTGTCAAATTTTCCTTATCAGAGATAAAGAACTTATTGCAAGAGAAAGGATTGTCCTAGAAAAAATCTTTGTATTGCAATGTAATCCGAACACTTGTCAGGAACAGCAATCTCGCTTGTGACTACGTAGGAAGGACGTCTGCAAGAGCTTGTCAACACGTGCTAAAGTTTTTTGGAAGAAGCGAAATATGAGTAAGAAATCAGCAGGCCGCAGGAGGAATGCAGTTCCTACAGTGGAGCAAATTTCTTCAGATCGGATCACCAAGGTACAGTAAAATATGATTTTGGATCACTCAGTTCTGAAGGAACGAGTTTGAAATTGTAAGCATCATCCAGCTGTGTTTACGTTTCTGATTCTTTTTCAGCTGAGTCTTTCTTTCGATGGTTAAAAAGTTTTATTTCAAGAGTTTCTTTTTAGGAAAGATGCACACTTAAAATATTTAATAGTACCTGCGTGGTTCCTTTGTGTTGGTGTGAAGATCTACGTACAGTGGACATGTCGGATTGTCATCAGTTTGTTTCTCCAGACACAAAAGGACAAGCAAATTATTTCTTTGCACGCATAATTCATGTCTGGTTGTTTGACAAAGTTCGCATAGTTAAAATATTTTTTCTTTTGAGAGTTATATGGAGATAATGAAGGAGAGAAAAGATGCCGTGATTCCAACATAACTCCAGTATGGCTTGATAAAAGAGAGAAAATACAATGAATCGTCGTTGATTATGTAGAGTATGCGTATGAGAGAGCACTACATTGAATAGTTTATGGTGATTTCTTGTTTTTTTTTTTGTTTGTTTTACAGCTTGCAAGTCAGTACTGGGCTCCTGGAGAAAGCAAGAAACCCTTCAATCCACAGGTACAAACTAGGTCTATATAAAGAAGGGAAGAAAGGGTTTTTTTCTGTGATAAGCACATGTTAAAAGAAGCTATTAATGGGGGCAGCTAACTCTCTGATAAAAGAAAATTTAATAAATTTTAAAATTGAATAAACAGAAGTACATGTAATCCACTTCACAATACAAAATGTAGTGCACATTTCTTTGTATTAAGGGAGGTAAGATAACTGTAAAGAGAATGATTTTTTTCTTTGCATGGAAAAGAGTACGCAGTGTCCTATCTCCTCTTCATTTTACTTGTGTACAGATCGTTGATGACATTTATAAAGATGAAATTAAAGGCAGCAAGTAAGTACTGGTCTTATTGAGCATTGAGATCAAGAAGGAGCAGGTGTCTTGCTTTCTTTCTCAATTAAACATAATTTTGTTGTTTTGTACTCTCTTATTGATCAATCAGAGTTTTTGCTTCTCCTTTAAAGAAAAAAAATAATATGGTGTGTCTGATTAAATGTTTTAATAAGCACAATTGAACTGAAAGAACATACGATGATTATGTCTATGTTCTGAATAGGTTTTCTGTGAAGCGTGCTATGCTGTTAGAGTTCAGCCAATACTTGGAAAATTATTTGTGGCCCAACTTCAATGCAGCTAAGGTTTGTAAACATGCGAAAAAAAAGGCAATTTTGAGAATTGTTGATGTTGTCTCTTTTTGTTATGCTCAGACAGTAAATCTTGAGAGGGAATGGAATTTGAGAGTCATGTATACTCAGATACATTGTTTTATCTTACAGTGTAGCTGTGAGTAATCACAATTTTTAAGTTATTTTAACTGTGATTTCTTCCAGGCTTCTGTTGAGTATGTCATGTCTGTCATTGTGATGGTGAATGAAAAGTTTAGGGAAGGTGTACCACCATGGGAGGTAAGAATATCAAATATCCATTATATGTATGTTTGACCATAGGAAAACCTGGCTGCTTGGTGGTTAGAGCACTGAACTGGAGAATGGAAGGTTCAAGTTCATGAAGCTGTGATTTGCTCTTCAACAAGATGCTAACTATAAAGTTACTGTCGCTGTGCCTCTATTCATTCAGAAGTTTTAACAGGTGCTCCAAAAGTGTCAAGGAAAAATATTTTGGTTCTATTGGTAGGAAGGGAAGGGGGGGGGGGCATGGATAGAACAATGCATCTCATCCAGGGGAGATTATTTAGTTTATCCTTCTAGCTAGCTTCTTGTGAAATAAGCACAAGCAGGATGGCTTTGTTTTGGAGACCTGTCAGAGAATATGCAATTACTGATGTCAGGGTGTAAAGGTTAAGCTTATGGTACAAAGTCTGTCATAAAACATTACTTGACCTTAGAAGTATAATAAAAAATGTTTTGATAATAGGTATATTTGATAAATATGCTTGATACCTAACAAGTCACTTTTTATTCTTATTTGTAGTCATTCAAACAAAATCCAGAGGAGTTCCATGGATTTTTCCAGCGCATCATGGAAATCAGCTTGGCTGATGAAGATGTATGTCAAATATTCTTAGAAAATCAAGGAGACTTAAAAATATATTTATTTAGTACAGTAACTTAAATAAATGGTACAGAAATGTAAACTGAAGATTTCATCACAGATAATTCTTGAACTTTTTAATTTAAACAGTATGCAGGCAATGTCTAGTTATAGCAAAAATTTACCATTTGACCTGTAAGAGTGACTAGCATCCAAGTTCTCATTACAAAATCATCCCTGAATCAAACATGAAGGTCATGAGAATAAAGGAATTGATCATCAACCAAAGAAGTTCTTGATTGTTAAACAAATTCTTCACGTCAGCTCCTTAGGACATGTGTATAGAACAATATGGAAAGTTCAAAGAAAATGACTTAATAATTTTCATTCAATTCCAGATGGTGACAATTAAGGAGCAGTCTATTGTCTTGACGTTTTTGATTCATTGTTTCAACAGTCTGGTATGTCAGATCTTTCTCAATGACTTGAGCTTACCTACAGATATCTTACATTGATTAATGTTACTGTTAGAAATGAATTCCTTTTCTACACTGTGTTGGAATGATCAGGCCTCAAGTTAGTTAATTTTAAGCGATAAAATGTTGTGATTTCAACATTTTCACAAACATGTAACTTTGTTTTATAGGAAATGGATCTCATCAGAGAACAACTGCAGCACTTGGTGTCTCTGTCCATGTGGATTTCTCTTCTTCCGGTATGTTTTGTTTACTCTGGTTTAGTGTACCAAGAAGTCTGGTATCATTGACAATTTGAGAGTGGTAAATAGCAAGTTCTAGTGGTTAAAAGATATAAATTCATTTATTGAATAAATCAAGCTGGCTGCACCCTTAGTTGATGACTGATGTACAGAGTGCAAGTGTAACTCAGGGACCAGTTTCACCAAATGCCAGTTCCTTTTAAATAAGGACTCATACACCTCTGAGTTTAAGAACAAAAATTGAACATTTGGTATATATATTTAATGATACTATTTTGAGATACAACAAGACAGTGTATCTACTAATTTGAATCCTGCACAGGGTACTATCTGAAGGTTACCACCAAACTTTCAATGTATATGTAAGAATCTATCCTTGGAATCCTGGACTCATCAGAGTATGATTTCTCCTCACTATTTTGCCAATAATTTTCAGCCAACAGATAATGAGAATAAGGAAAATATCAGTTAAGGGATGCTGTTTGGATTTAAGACTAAATTCTCAGCACTATCTAATGAAGAAATGTACTGTCAACAGTAGTAAGAATTCAGTTTTGATCATTAGAGTTGAAGGTTAATGTGTGCTGGGTTTGTTTCTGTTAAAGGAACGTCTGGAACAAGAGTTGAAGAATGTGCCCAAGAAATATAGGAAATACTGGGAACACCTGAAAAAGAAAGAGACCCAGGCAGATGAAGAAACTAAGAAAAAGTGAGTGCTACAAATATGGATCTCTTTCCCTGAATATGTCACTGTTAGTTATTAGTTTAACGACAGACAGGGCACTAGATTCAGGACAATGTCTATGTGAACTGCGTGCAGAAAGACCTGAACTTTTGCAGTCCTGCTTTTGTTGAGTTTTTTTTGTTGTTGTTGCAGTAAATGTGCAAGTACTTGGATGCGATGAAAAAAAGGGGATACCCTCTCTAGATAGATTTAATTGTCAAATCTCTTAGCTTTGAGAAAAGCACATTGAAACAAGAATGGATTTTGTGGTTGAAATTTCAATACGTATGGCTAACTTTAGAGCACTATTTTTCTACCAAACAAATTATACTCATTCACAATTTAAGATGTTTATTGTTAGAAATACATGTACATAACATTTTTCACTTTTGGGCTCAGGGTTACAGTGTTAATTGTGCTTGTTATTATCTTTTTTATTATTATTCTTTAAGACAAGAGAAAGAAAGAAAATATTTATCAAACCTTGTTCAGAAGTTTGTGAAAATCTTACAATCGATTCCAGAGTTAGGTAAGTTATTGTAGGCTGATCTCATCTTCATATAAACAAAAAATAAAATTTGAAGACCTCATCATGAACCAATGTTGCTAGTAGTAAATCATGTTTGTACAAAAACACCTTCAAGTCCTTTTCTTTAGACTGTCACTGATTTTAATCAGTTGCCAGCTATTTTAGGCAGCTTCAGCTCAAATTTTTCTTGCATGTTTTTACAGAGAAAGGTGTGTGGGTGGGGGGGGGGGGGGGGGATTGTAACAGGGGAGGAGGGTTTAAGCGAGAGGGGGGTTGTAGGCGGGCAGAAGGGACCACAACCATCAGGTACATCCATCCGTAGGAGAATGGTTTTAGAGCTAGCTACTCAGATGACATGTATATAACCACATTTCTAACCAATTCTTGCTTATCACTGTCTTTGCTTTGTGAAATCAGAGCATGTTCTGTGTACTGATTAAAAAGCAAATTTAGGAATTTTTTCCAAACATTTCCAGGCTCTGTGGATATGGATAAGGTTCACTATTGTGAAAGGTTCCTTGAACTCTTGGTTGACTTAGAGGTAGGAAATATTAAAGAAAAATTATAATTTTTGTCCAACTTACAGTTATTGTGTTCCAAAAATTCACATTTTGGAAACATTTCAGTCTGCTTTTTGAGGATTTCTGAGTTTGACAGTTGATGTCTTGTATTTAGCAATAGTTACATGTAAACTGTTGTTCCTTCTCTAACAGTGGTGTTGGACAGGTATGAAACTTTTAGAATGACCAAAACGTACTAATCTTGATTGATCTCAACAATTTGTTTCAATAGGCATTGTTACCAACTAGGAGATTTTTCAATACATTAGTGGATGATCACCATTTAGTGGTAAGATTAATTACAACATGCTTTTCCATGCCAGTGTATATTTTTAAGATAATTTTCTTGTGTTGAAAATTATTAAACCCAGTTTAGTATTTATTTCCTGATTCAAAAGATAACAAGTGAGGCCAGGTATACTTTTAAACCATGACACATAGCCAGACAGTGTAGTTTGATTTTTATTTCTCCTTATTCTGGAATTTTTTCATAATCCACAAAGAAAAATACCGTACATTCAGAATTAGCAACACACATAGACATCAATTCACCTGAATACCATGTACATGCATACCTGAAACATAATAAATTTTGTACATCATGATTCAAATTTGTAATTAACTATGTAATCTTGTCATTTATGGTAACATTAAAACCTGTGCACTTGATTATATTTCAGGTTAAGTGTCACCTTTCTGGTCTTGTAAGAAGAGAGTCAGAGGGAAGATTATTCAAACAAGTAAGGGAATGCTAAAGGCTTTTAAGAGTAGAGCTAGAATTCTGTTTCCTTGATTAATCCTGTTAACTTTTTCTCAGTGTTTCATAGAAAAATGTAGCAGAGGAAGAATTGTGTAGAAGAGCAAAGAAATATTTCCTGTGTGGCAGAATTATGACAAAATAGCTTAAACCATTAAAATTGAGGCAGATAATTATAAT